TCTAACCGGACATGTTATGAGAATCAAAAATTAACTTTGCTTGGCCTCAAAAATAATATGGAGACATCTATGATTTACGTTAAATAAGTATTGTATTTTATAAAATAGAAATAATATCATATAGTATTATCTTTAAAATCCTTATAACAATACTAGATTAACAGAAATTATAGATGCCTCTATTTGAAAAATTATAATACAGTCAACTACTTATATAACAGATATCTATAATAAAAATCACTTATAATGGACTTAAAATTTAAATTTTAGTATAAATCCATTATATAGATAGTTGACTATATATATGTTAGTTAAATTAGAATATCTGAAAGGTTTTCCAGATTCTACCATCATAGATATCGGTAACCATACCAGGATCAACAAGCCTATCTATCCATTTCCTACAATTCACTTCAAACCCCTTCCTATTATATAATGACTATAATTGATGTGTCAAAGAAATAGTCAGAAAAATTAAGGTTGGTTTAAATATAACTCCACCGGTTACTAGAACTTTTTTTGCTACAGGTGAAGCACAGGGTAGTCTTTTATTAGCCATTGGGTGGTTTGGAAAGTCTTGGAAGGTGCAATGGCTTATCTTGAGTGATAAATTAGGCTTGTCGGTTGACACATCGGCAACGCTATATAATTTACAACATTTTTTATATATCGTATACTTGATCATGTAAGCACAAATTCCAAGAGCTTTGCGTGCCATTCTTAAAGACGTAGGGAAGGTGGCATATGTATTTTCGTCATGAAAGAGACAAAGGTACCGAAGAAATTTGATTAAAAACCCGGTTTGTATATTGGATAACTTACACCTTGCTTGATACTTCAGAGCCCAAAAAACGATCCACATAAAATTATTAGTTGTATCTGCAGGTTCAGTTGGATGGTTATTTTCTTCATATAAATCAGGAGCATTAAAATTAATTTCATTATTTTCTTCTTCTTCTTCTTTATCATCCGAGAACAAGGTTTCGATAAATTCTATAGGTAATGGGCGCTCTTTTTTCCCCATTATCAGATTTTTTTCTTTTTTTGAGCTGTGTTTTAGTAATAAAATTATATTCTTCTTCATATAAAGAAATAACTGATTCATTTTCAGAACTACCAGTATCAAATTGCATAGGGCTATCTGGAATTTCCATGACTGGAAATTCCATTTCTGGAAATGGAATTTTCGGAAGGTCTCTTATGCTTACGGTTGTTGAAGATTCACTTATATTAAGTAAATTTCTTACTTCAGTATCTCTATTAGCCATATGAGATTTTTTGGTTCTTGGATCTACAAGG